GACTCCCTGCAAACGGTCAATGAATATAGACCTATTCGGATCCTGGTTATGTTGTGGATAAGCGAGGCACCTTCGAGTTTTAATCCTTAAACCACATCGTGAGCCTCAAACTCCAAGTAGCCCAAGGGTTTCTTGTTCTATTCCCATGAAATTTCAGAGGATTCTCTTCATGAGTGCTCCTTTAATTTGTAGTTCAGTTAATTAAGCCTAAACCCATCAAATTTCATGAGCCTACAGAGTTGTTTGGCTGCACTTGGGTGTCCCTAAAACCCTAAGCCCTAAATCGTAGGATTGCCCAGAGTGCCTTAATGTTTCTTGCTCGTAACTCGCATATGCCACAAGGCGAAGCTTTGGTTTGGGATTTAGGGTTTAATGTAGGGGCCTATATAATCATAATAGGGTTGTGGGGGTTTGTTGATTTAAGTTAATGTAATTTGTAGTATAATATACCACAGACCCTCTTCTAATTTTTAAGGCGCCTACACCAGAGCGTTTAGGGCTTTGAGCTTAGGAAGTTCTACTAGGCAGGTAAGCACACCTCCGAAGCGATAATCCGACATCCCGTAAGCCCAAAATGCTGTGTCTATATTCAACTTCATTACCCGGGGGGTCCATATATACTACCATTGTGGAATTGGGCCCCAAAAGACCATGCTTACTATGGTTTTGGGGGCCTAATTCCATAATAATAATAATAATAATAATAGTAGTATATATATATATATATTTCTATATTATATATATATATATATGGACCCGCTAGGTTATACTTGCACATATTTTGTACTACATGATGTAGTTTTGCATCATCATCATCCTCATCTTCACTATACTTTTTGTTAAACTATATTATAAAACACTGCAGCCTAGAGTAGGCTCGTAATGTAGAAGCCCAAATAATCACCAACATTATTCCTTAGGGTTTCTTACTTTAATAATACAAAGGAGCCCAAAATCCTATTCTAATCATTAAGGCCGCTAGAGTAGTCTGTTCTAAGCCGCATGTAGACTCTTCCGACTTCCCCCTGCTTCGCGTGACGTACGCAATATGTCGTGCTGGGTAGCTCGGATAGATAGAACATGGATCCCTAAACCCTAAACCCTAAACCCTAAACCCTAAACCCTAAACCGTGTTTGTGGTTTAGGGTTTAGGGGTTTAGGGTTTAGGGTTTGCTGAAGCCTGAGTCTGGCAATGGGCTCGAGCCTATCCTGTTATTTTTGATCTTACTATTTGGCACTACATAATGTTATATTATAGTATACTTCAATAAAGCTGAGCTGAAGACATGATATTCGGTTGTTTGAAAAAGGGAGAGTGTTGGGGGCTTTATTTAAGCCTTCAGAGTTTAGCATTTAGGCTGTATGGTTTTCGGGTCTAGGGGAGCTTTTGGTGTAAGCTTCAGGGTTCGGGACGGTTGATGTTTTAGGATTGTTGGGGAGGGTTAGGCCCTCCAAAAAGACAACGGTTTGGGGGTTAGGTAACCCTAAACCCTAAACCCTAAACCCTAAACCCTAAACCCTAAACCCTAAACCCTAAACCCTAAACTCCAATCCAGACACCAGGAGGATCCACACCGTAGATCCCCTCAAATTGGGGCCTTGAACTACGAAAGGGAACCTGAAAGGCACCCCTCCAAGAGGTCTGGGAAAACAAGGGACTACCCCTAAACCCTAAACCCTAAACCCTAAACCCTAAACCCTAAACCCAGCCGTGCGTTTGCTCCAGGTGATGTTGCCTATCGAGTGTCCCGTCGCAGGTCGGCCAGGGGAAGTCTGGGTACCGGGCACATGCATGCCCCTAGCAGGTTTAGGGTTTAGGGTTCAGGGTTAGGGTTTAGGGTTTAGGGTTTAGGGTTTAGGGTTTAGGGTTTAGGGTTTAGGGTTAGGTATACCCTGAAGCCTAAACACTAAACCCTAAGCCCCGGATTCGGTATCCTAGCGGTATACCCGTCTACCCCAAGAAGAGGATTATCATACACTCCCGTAGTAGGTTGCCACGAAGTCCCGGATCCCGGAAGCATTCCTATGCCCGCAGCCTGAGTAATGTAATGGCCTACATAATCAACTAGACTATCAGGGTTTAGGGGTTAGGGTTTAGGGTTTAGGATTTAGGGTTTAGGGTTGGGGCTCCTTATTATAATTATTGTAGAATCGACCCCAAAACCCTATTCAAATCATTAAGGCCCCTATATAAACTTGAGTACGAGCGCTCCGTGACTCCACAAATAGATTACTCCATGAACTGCCTGAAAACTTGAATAACTCTTCCCTTAGCCCTAAAACGGTTTAGGGTTTAGGGTCTAAGGTACAGGGGGTTTAGGGGTTAGCGTTTAGGGTTAAGGGGTTGAGGGGTGTAGGGGTTTAGGGTTTAGGCTTTGGGGTTTGGCCGTATCCAGACTGCTCAAACGCTGCTCAGATTCTGCTGCCCAGTTGGCGTCCTCGGCTGGGATTTTTCGCCCTAACCCTAAACTCTAAAACCCTAAACCCTAAACCCTAAACCCTAAACCCTAAACCCCAAACCCTGAAAGGGTCTGGATTGGGTGAGGGAGATTTAGGGTTGGGGTTTAGGGTTTAGGGTTTAGGGTTTAGGGTTTAGGGTTTAGGGGTCTGGGGTCTAGGGTTTTTCAACAACTCATGGTGCGCTGGAGTGCTGTGCTTTTGGCTTGGGCAGTTTATTGCTTTCAGCTCTATTGCTTTCAGCTCAGGGTGTCGGGTTCTTGTCTTGAAGATACTATGCTTTTGGCTCAATATTAGGGCTTAACATCCCAATGATCTGGTTGCCCTAGGTTTTCCAACATGTCCGCATGGATTTCAGTACCCTCTCGCTTCGAACCACTCCGCTTTTAAAGATCCGATGGCCCACTTATTATATATTCTACACCTCGCCCTAAACCCTACGCCCCTAATCCCCGAGCCCTCGCATTCTAGCCAAGGGCCGAACCTTGAACTCTGACCCCAAAGCCTAATCTAAC